GCGGGAGCTGCGCCAGGCCGGCCCGCTCCAGCGCCTGCTGCTGGTCAACAACGCCGGTGAGAGCCCCGCGGGCGCCGCTCGCCCAGCCCGGCGCCGGTCCGGACGGTGGGGGGGCGAGCCGGGCGCAGAGCCGCTGCCCGCCCGCCCCGACCTGGGGGGCGTCTGGGGACCCCGCCTGTCCCTCGGCGTTGGGGCCTGAGCCGAAGGTGCGGCGGCGGAGGGGGGGAAGATTGTGTTGCAGTTGTGGTGGGTGGGACGTTCATTCGGCGCAGAACAAGTGAACTGGGCACGACGACTCAACCCTCCCCGCCAGCCACGTGCTCCCTGCAGCCCATAATACTTGCTGGGTGGGCGCGTGGGCCCTGGGGAAGGGTCGGGGAGGGGGCGAAGCTTTGGGGGGAGCCCCTGTTCTCAGAAACACTGAGACCCCGGCCGAGGAGGCAGCTGGTGGTGCGGAGGGGGGCGGCGGCTATGATTCACTAGGACTAAACGGGGGGGGGCTTCGGGGATGGAAAGGAAGGGGGTGCAAGGGACTTACCACATCCACCTCTGGAGTGGGGCTGGCTCCAGATGTTGGGGGTCAATATCGGCCTGTGCGCCTGGGAATCTTGTGTCCTTAATTGCACCAAGGACAATCCTGCCACACCCTGTGGGTAATATCTCCATTTGCGCTGCCTTGTGCCAGTGACTGGAGGCCGCCTTGCACCCAGGAGGAATTGGTAGCCCCCCCCCAAGCCTCAAACAAAAGAGCCTATTGACTGCAGACAGCTAGAGGAATCCTTGGGGGGGGAGACTCCTTGCTTCCCCCCTTCCTCCCCTCCCCCTCCCCCCATCCTTCTGGGCCTCAGTCTCCCCTGGAGATGATCAGGAGCCCTTTTTCTCCCAGGCTCTCTGGGCGACATCTCCAAGACCTTCTCTGACTTCACCGAGCCCGGGGAGGTCAACAGCTACCTGAACCTCAACGTGACCTCCGCCCTCTGCCTCACCGCCTCCATCCTGAAGGCCTTTCCTGCCCAGCCGGGCTTCAGCCGCTTGGTGGTCAACATCTCCTCCCTCTGCGCCCTGAAGCCCTTCAAGAGCTGGACCCTCTACTGCGCGGGGAAGGCGGCCCGCGACATGATGTTCCAGGTCTTGGCGGCCGAAGAGCCGGATGTGCGGGTGCTGAACTACGCCCCAGGTGAGTCCAGGGGACCCCGGGCACCCTCTTGGTCTCCTGGGGACCCCCTGTGATTGGCTGCCCTTTCCTCTCCGGCCTTCCTTCTCCGCAGGCCCCATGGACACCTCCATGCAGGAGGAAGCCCGCACCCTTTCGGCAGACCCGGAGTTGCGGCAGACCTTCCTTCGCCTGCAGGAATCCGGGCAGCTGATCGAATGTGATGTCTCCGCCGAGAGGCTGCTGGGCCTTCTGGCTGCAGACACGTTTGAATCCGGAGCCCACGTCGACTTCTACGACACCTAAACAGCTCTCCGGGACCCTGCGTCCGGCAGACGGTCCTTCCTTCCCTCCGAGGCAGAGCTCCACTTCTCAAAAGGGCAGAAATTATTGTGTCTTTCTTTAACGAATGCTGCACTATGAAGTTGTGTATCTGAGGTCGCTTGTAGAAGCTTTTTGCACTGTGAGTGTGCCAAAGAAAAGTGAAAAATTACTGTAAGCTGCCTTTGTGTTGATGTGCGGAAAATGTTGCTCTACGCAGGGTAGATGATGGTAACTTTGGTTTCAACAAATAGCTTGAACCATCCTGTGATAGCCAGGTAGGAAGTGGGTAGTGGCTGACTGGGGAACTCTGGGAATTGAAGTCCACACATCACAAAGTTGCCAAGGTTGGGAAGTTCCTGGAGTAGGCAGACATGTGGTAGAACAGGAAGAGGCGTGGTGGGTCCAGAGGCAAAGCTAGCCGGGCTTGGGGTGCAGGGGGCTCGTCCTGCCCTTACTCGGGGCATCACGAGTAATGTCACAGCTACAAATAATGTCACAGCTACAAATATTTGGTTTTAATTGGCTTTTATAGGGGAAATGTTGTGTGTGTTGTTTGTATTGTGTTATTTTAATATGCTGTGAGCCGCCCTGAGTCCCGTGGGGAGAAGGGCGGCATATAAATTATGAAAAATAAATAAATAAATAAATAAATAAAATAAAATAAATAAATAAATCACGTGCGGCTCCCGGGTGTGCAAGCGATGTGGGTGGAGGAGCCCTTGTTGCGCTTCGGTTGCCCAGGCTCGGCTGGAGAGAATGAGGTATAGGCCAGGGGTAGGCAACCTGGGCTCTTTTATGACTGGTGGACTTCAACTCCCAGAATTCCTGAGCCAGCATGGCTCAGCTTGGAAACCTCTCCCTTTTCCCTCAGCATGGCTGGCTCAGGAATTCTGGGAGTTGAATTCCATGAGTCATAAAAGAGCCAAGGTTGCCTACCCCTGGTATAGGGTTTCCTGCCTGCGTAGGGAGTTGGACTAGAAGACCTCCGAGGTCCCTTCCAACTCTGTTATTCCAACTTGCTTGCCTTCTAGACCAGGGGTAGGCAACCTGGGCTCTTTTATGACTCGTGGACTTCAACTCCCAGAATTCCTGAGCCAGCCATGCTGAGGGGAAAGGGAGAGGTTTCCAAGGTGAGCCATGCTGGCTGAGGAATTCTGGGAGTTGAAGTCCATGAGCCATAAAAGAGCCGAGGTTGCCTAACCCTGGTATAGGCCCAAGGCTGGTGGATCTGATCAGGCGACCTCTTTTGGAGATAACACATCCTCCATTGTGTCTCACAATGGCTGCTGCTCTTTTTGCACAGCGGCCACTGAGCTGGGCTTCCCTTGAAGAAGACGGGGCTGTAGAAGGAGCTCAGACCCAAAACGAGACAAGAAACAGCAGATGGAAGCTCGTCATGGAGAGAAGCAAGCTAGAACTGAGAAGGAATTTCCTGACAGCCAGGACAGTTTGCTTCCTCCCCGTCTGTCCCACATAGTCACAAGATAGGTTGGATGCACAATCCAGACATAACAAGATGTAACCTGGAAGATACAACATTAAGAGTTAACAGTGTGTGTGCATAACGCACGTTGGGAGCTGACCAGCAGCTTCACTTAATGGAACCGTCCAAGTAAACAGTCAAATCCCACAAACTGCCAGAGGAAGCTCCTTGTCTAATCCCTAAAGTTAATCATTTATATAACCTTTTGCTTGATTGCATTCATCATATGTAACCTTGAACTTTGATTATTGAATTCAAAACAGATGGGGGGTTTTTTGGGGGGGGGAACTCCTTCTCCGAGCATTTTTTCTAAGTTTTATTTTTGTTGAGTTTTAAAATCACTTCATGCAAGAAGAAAACACATTTAAAGCTACTGCCTGCCTCATTTTTGCCTTTTTCTGAAGATTAGAGAGCTGTTTTTGCAAAGTTTAGCTAGAAACACGCATGTACAGCCCTTCTAGTTGCCAGCAGTGATGAGATGAATGGAGCCGGCCCCATTTTGAGGGAAGCCAAAAGAGAAGCTGCAGAAGGGCTTGTATTTCGGATCTTGGAAAGGATGCTCGTGTCTGCGCATGCCATTTACAGCTCAATTTATAGCAGCTTCATAATAAAACACCTGCTGTGTCACTGGGGTACCATACAGGCAGTCCTCAACTTACAACAGTTCATTTAGTGGCTGTTCAAAGTGAAAAAAGTGACTTATGACCACTTTTCACACTTACGAAAACTGCCGCATCCCCGTGCTAACGTCATTTACATTGAGTTGCCCTGACAATTGACTCACATTTATGACGGTCGCAGTGTTCCCAAGGTCACGTGATCCCCTTTCGCAACATTCTGACAAGCGATGTCAACAGGGAGGCCCGATTGACTTAACAACCCTGTGACTGATTTAATAACCGGAGTGAATTCATTTAACTCTGGCAAGAAAAGTCGTAAAATGGGGCAAAACTCACTTAACAAGTGTGTCACTTAACAACATAAATTTTGGGCTCCGTTGTGGTCTACCTTTATATGGTACTCTGTGTGTGTTTGTGTGTGTGTGTGTGTGTGTGTGTAAGTCTATTGTCCTGTTTTTTTGTTTTTGGGAATGGATTTTCTATACAAATCCATAGCTTGACTGAATTTTTATTTTGTAAAACCAGGCACTCATGACAAATGATATACTTTTAAAGGGCTCTTTGCACATGCTCAGAGGCTATTGATGAGTCAGAAAATACTTGTTTTTGAATAGGTTTCTTTGAATCCGCTGCAGCACTTGGCTGTTGTTCTGGCCTCTTATTTCCCTTCTCTTCCTTTCTTTCTCTCTCTCTCTCTCTCTCTCTCTGCAAGGGTTTGGACTGGCTCCTTTCCATCCCTCTTTCAGCTTTCAGCCCTCTTCCTTGTCCCCGTCCACCAGAAACTGGCTGGCCCAACCCCATTCCGAAATCAGGCAGTTTCCAATTTTGGGGCTGATTTATTTGTTAAACACATTTCTATTCTCCTGCAATCAGACTGACTCTCTGTGCCTTATGAAGACTATAAACTGGAACGATTTCAAACATCTGTCGTCACATCTAAAACCACCTAAAGCCCAACAAATAACAGTGAGAAAAACGAGAATTGATCAAAAGAAACACACAAAGATAAAAAAGGACACAAGGCCTTACGTGAGCTCTGGACTAAATCCCAGAGACGATTTCCACGTTCAGCCAGGATTGGACCGAATGATTGAAAGTCTTTGGGCTGCTTAATGCAAATAAACTGATAAAAATGAAAGGGGGGGGGGCAAATACAAAGGCTTAAACAGAGAACACAAAATAAAAGCCTGAGGGGTTTGAAGATTAGCCTGGTGAGGGAAGTAAAAAGACCCCAAACAAACAAAACAGCCCAGCGTGCTCAACAAACTGGCTTGCGTTCTGTCTTTTGGTTGCAGTTGGGCAGTGCCACACCTCAAAGATGTTGACAAACTGAAGTTTCTGCAGGAAACCTCCTTGGGCTAGTAGGGAGAGCCAAACAAGTGGAAGAAATCCATCTTCAAGGAAAGACTAAGAGATGGAAAGCAACCAAGTAGAGATCAGAAGCCTCACCCAGAGAGGGTGCTTCTCCTTGGCTGGTGGGTGGGTGGGTGGAGAATTGGCTTGAACATAGAACAACAGAATTGGAAGGGGCCTTGGAGGTCACCTAGTCCAACTCCCTGCGCAAGCAGGAGACCTGGCCTATACCATGTCAGACAAGTGGCTGTCCAGTCTCTTCTTGAAAATCTCCAGTGATGAACAACCTATATCTTCTGGAGGCGAGCTGTTCCACTGGTTAATTGTTCTCATCGCCGGGAAGTTTCTCCTTAATTCCAGGTTGCCTCTCTCCTTGGTTAGTTTCCATCTGTTGCTTCTTGTCCTGCCCTCTGGTGCTTTGGAGAATAAATTGACCCCCTTCTCCTTTGTGGCAGCCCCTCAAATACTGGAGTCTGCTATCCCGTCGTCCCCTAGTCCAGGGGTAGGGAACCTTGGCTCTTTTATGACTCAATTAGCTGGCTCAGGAATTCTGGGAGTTGAAGTCCACAAGTCATAAAAGTGCCAAGGTTCCCCGCCCCTGCCCTAGTCCTTCTTTTCTCTAACTAGCCAAACCCAATTACTGCGTTCTTCGTATGTTTTAGCCTCCAGGCCCCTAATCAACCTTGTTGCTCTTCTCTGCTCTTCTCTTTCCAGAGTCTCAATGTCTTTTTTCTATTGTAGTGACCAAAAATGGACACAGGATTCCAAGCGTGGCCTTACTAAAGCCTTATAAAGTGGTAACTAAGGCTTCATGTGAACTCGATTCTATATGGCTGGGATCAAAGTCCCAACAGGCTTTTGGGCAGCAACTGGCCAGTGCTGGAGGGCCCCCTCATGCTCTTCCAGGGCAGAGAAGCCCCCCCCAAAGATCCTGTGTCTCTCTGAGAGTGGTCAGAAGGTCAGGGAAGGAGCTGTGGGCAGCAGGAGCAATGGAGACAGATGGACAAAGACTGACCACTTCAGCTGGCTGGAGGACTTGTCAATCTTGTGGTGGGGCTGCCCCCTGGTGGGGTGATACGGAAACAGCCCGTGAGTGCCTAATGGAGGGTCCTGGGTCATCCTGGGGAGCTGTGCCATCCCTGCCCCCCCCCCGGTGCTGAGGCCCCCCTCTCTTGGGAGAAGCAGCCTCGGCCTTTGATGACCCAGCCACCTTCCTTACCTGCCTTCACTCAACCCAGATTCCTTTCAGCTGGCCTTGGAATAATAGAGTTGGAAGGGACTTCTAGTCCAGCCCCGTTTGAGCAGGAGGCCCCGTGCCATTTCAGATAAATGATTGCCCAGTCTCCTATTGAAAGCCTCCAGGGATGGAGCACCCACAACCTCTGAAGGCAAGCTGTCCCATTGGTTGACTGCTCTCACCATTAGGAGAGATGTCACGTCTGAGGCAGGATTAGAACTCACAGTCTCCAGGTGATTGGCCCAGACCTAATACTCCTCCCTCTCCCTATTTTCTGCATAACAACCCTGTGAGGTGGGTTGGGCTGAAAGAGAGGGACTGGCTCTCTCATGGCGACTGGCCTAAAGTCACCCAGCTGGCTTTCTTAAGTAAGGTGGAACTAGAACTCACGTCTCCTGATTTCGGCCCTGGTGCCTTAACCCCCAGATCATACCAGTGAAGATAGGGATAGTGGCCTTTCTCCCAGGG